CCCCAGTGGGGTGCCTGGCCAGTCTGGGTGAGCGGCTGAGGGCCGTTTTCAGGCTGGCGGGTGACTGAAGCTCCCAGCCTCTCCTTTTTGTTTTAATTCTGGGGTTTATTTTTACCTTCTAATTGAAACTCTGTTGCCGTCACTGGCGCTTCCAGCTCTGAGGCCGCGGCTGGCTGAAAGCAGGTATCTGGGGTTTGTTTAGCTTCTATAAATGAAACATTGTTGCTTCCAGAACTCAGAGCTGGGCTGTGGCAGGTGGGGAACCTTGGCTTCCTCCATCACTGGAGCAAGCAAACCTCCTGCTGGCTTCAGCTGTGTGGCTGCGGCTGCCATCTTTGTTGGCAGTTAATTTTCATATCTCGCTGATTAGCCATTGGGAAGCACAGCAGAGGTACGGTTAATTACCCTTTTTTGTCTTTTATTAGATAGGATATTTAAATCCCATTTAACAAAGAAAAATCAACCAAAAAAATGAGTTCATGTGTCACCTTTGACACACGTGTCATAGGTTTGCCATCACTGGACTCTAGCCCATATAATTGCAGAGTATCAGAAACATAGCCACACATTGTAATCCTGACTTCCAGCTAGCCATTCTTGCTACACAGGAAAGGGCTATGGCCAAGGGGAGCTTTTTCCTTTGTAGGGATAACATTCCGTGGAGAATTTGGATACAAGGAAAGCTCATGGTAAAGAAAATCTGCTTTTCATTCTGTTCTTTAAGTGACCTGTTTGCCTGCCCAGAGCTATTATCATAAAATGGACTATGAGCAAGCAGATGCTACTAATGAACAGTAATTGAAAACAATTACATAGTGCTTACTATATGCCAAGTATAAATTCAAAATGATTTAGATGCTTTATCTCATTAAAGTATCATGATTTTTAAGGATAAATAATAATTCAACCCCCCCTTTACGGGTGGGAAAACTGAAGTTTAGAGAGAGTAAGTAACTTGTGGAAGTTTACTTAATGGTGGATTCTGGTTTCAAATCCTGGCATTCTGGCCGAAAAACTTACTTTTTTTTTTCACTCTTAGGAGAGATCAGTACTTCTGAGAATTTGGTCTTAGATTTTTAAAAAAGGGTCAATATCTTGATTTATCTGAGATTGTGATCTCTCTTTCTCACACACACAGATCTATAACAGATTGAGAAAAATGCAATTATTTGTTAATTTAATTATGTATGCATTCTTTGGCCTTTATGTTATACTAAGTTAAACCTCTGAAAAAAACCCTGTTTCTTTGCAGTTCCAAACAGAGTCATTTTCTTAAAAGGTTCAGAAGTTCAAACAGACTTAAGTTTAAATAGATTATATTGAGAGTTCTTTCTCCATTCTTTTTGAAAATTAAAGAAGGCATAGTTAAATTTTGATTTTATTTTTTTATAGAACAAGTGTCATAAACAGAAAGTTACTTTATACAGAGAAATAACGAAAGGAATCTACTGGCTGAATTAAATGTAATCATACAAACTGAAGTAATAGTTCTTTACATATTATGGGTATAAATAAAAAAAAATTCATAATACTAAAATAAGTATTATTCAATAAAAACACAATACTATGAGCAGTCTATAGTGAAGATTTTTAAATAAAGTTTAATTTTTTAAAGTATAATTGACTAATAAGATTATATTATTTACAGTATACAATCTTCAAGATAAATAAAATATCATTTTATGATATACATATGTTATGAAGTTATTACCACAATTAAATGAATCAACACATGCATCACATCACGTAGTATTTTTACCTTGTGTGTGTGTTGTTTTTCTTGTGAGAATGCTTAACATCTGCTCTATTAGAAAATTTCAAGTGTACAATATAATGTTATTAATATAGTCACTATGCTGTACATTAGATCTTCAGAATTTATTCATCTTATTACTAAGAGTTTATAACCTATATAGCTTAATTTTGAATAAAAGCTTCTAGTGTGTGACAAACTACTATTGATACGTTGTGCAGCTTTTCAAAATGGACATTTCTCAACATGTTTTTTTTTTTCCCATTGCTAAAGGCTCTGTCTGTAAGGAATTCTCTTGAAGTTATTAACCTCTGTGCCAATGTTGAGGACTTACACATATCTTTACCTATGAAATGACCTGATAGTTTCATTCTTTAGCTTTTGGTTATATGAGTAAAGTGCAGTTATTCAAAACAGGTTACTCGTATGTATATTGAGATTCCTGTTAAAGAGTATAATTTAAGTTTGAACAGAAAAATCAGTTTGCTGAGAATTTACTCCTTTTTTAATCAATATGGTCAGTACCATAATAATGTATAGAATAATAATTTAATGTGTGATCTTTAGCCTCCTAGCATTGGTTATTAGTTTGGAATTTAAATCAATCAGTTGAAATAGCTAAAGATACCTTTAAACTAAATACTTTACATCTGTAAACATTTTGTTTTCAAGAATTCTATAACTTAGGGCATTGAAGGATCAATGTGGGTTAGAAATTTAGAAAATTTTACCCTTTAAGAATGATGCGATTAGAAATTGTTTGCTGATGTCTCCACCAAAGCAGCAATTGCTTCGTATGATTTTCCAAGGTCACTTTTATTTTCAGAGAATCTCAAATTTTGAAGGAAGGGTAAAGGATATCTTGACAAAGACTCTATGAATCTCCATACTGAAGAGCCCATTCTGTCTTTGGGAAGCTGTAATTTCCACAAAGATCTTTATCTTCTGAACCATAATTTAATTTCTAGATAGATTAAAAAAATCTATGACTCTAGAGGTTATGGAAACTGAATCACTCTCCTCTAAATTCTGTTCATTTGTTTCTTACATGATGATATTTCAATCTCATCATTATTATAAAGGTGTTCCTTTGAATATATTAATAGTAAAATTCATTAAGCCCTTATCATGTATCTTACTAATGTTTATCTCATTAAATCCTCCCAGCAACCCTGGTAAAATCTGCTGCATTGCTGCTATTGTTATTTCTG